CTCTCTCACACTCTCTCTCTTTCACTCTCTCTCTCTGTCACTCTCTCTCACTTTCTCTCACTCACACACTCTCTCACTGTCTCACACACACTCTTTCACACACTCACACTCTCTCCCTCCCTCTCTCTCACTCTCTCTCACACACACTCTTTCACACACTCACTCTCTCTCTCTCTCTCTCTTTCCCAGGAGCAACGCACCTCCTGAACCAGTTGCGGGAGCTGAGGAAAAACAACCTTGACCTCCATTGCGAGTTTCAGGATTTCAAGCTCAACCGGACAGGTGCGCGGGGGGAGGGCGGGGGGGGCGGGGGGGCGGGCGACCCCTCCGGGGTGCCCAGAGGGAGGCCTGGCACAGTCTGTCCCCCTTCGACTTAGCTGGCGGCCTGCGGCTTCCGTGCCATGGACTGGGGTTCGAAAGGAATTGGGGGGTCTTTGGGGGCCTCGGAGCTCGGGGGGCTTTTCTGGCAGACATTTCATCGCCAAACTAGGTAACCTCATCAGTGCTTGGAAATGTAAAGCCCACTCAGTCCCAGCACTGATGGGGTTATCTAGTTGGGTCGTGAAAGGTTGGAAGACGTCCTGAGAGCGTTAGAGACCCCACGGTCCTCCTCCTCCTCCTCCCCAAAAGCCCCACTCCCTTCTAGCCCTGATGATGTTCCCTAGCTGGGTCATGAAACGTCTGCCAGAAACAATCCCCCCGCCCCAGCTCAGAGACCCCCTCCGAGCACACCCCCCTTAGCCAAATCGCATCCTGGGCTGATGGGTAACTTTCCTCGCTGGTGGGCTTCTACCCTCTGCGGTTGGCGTGAGTTCGAGGCAGAGCTGAGGATGCTGACCCCCCCTCCCCAGTGCATGATGGGAATATCCCTCCCCTTGGTGCCCAGCCAGGCCCCAGTATCCTCGGCTAGCTTGAGCGGTTTGGCCTGAATTCCAGACTTCATCCCATGGGATGGGAAGAGGCCTCTGCAAGCATCCTTAAGGTGCCACCTGCATTTTTGGGGTGGGGTGGGGGGCACCTGAAATAATTCCTGCAGGGCCTCCGGCGCCTCGCCCCGATTTTGGGCCGCACCGACCCATCCAGTTCTGCGACATAATCTTTTTTTCAGATGTTTTTCCTTCTGGGTGTTTTTAATCCTCTGCCTTTTTTTGGGGGGGGGGAGGGGGGCTCCCCAGCATCCTGGGTAGGACAGCCCTAATAAACGGAAGGAATAAGAAAAAGATCGGTCATCCTCAACTTACGACGATTCGTTTAGTGACCGTTCGAGTGGGGAACGCGCGATCGTTTTTTCACACGATCGCAGCATCGTTAAAATTCAAAGCGCCAGGCCGCTGATTCGTCTTTACGACGGTCGCAACATCCCCGGAGCGGCCGCGGCGACTCACTTAATCGTAGTGGCCGAAAAGGTCGTAAAATGGGTGGGGTGGGAAACTCTCTGCATAAATGTCTCGCTTAACGATGAGAATTTTGGGGTCCCTTGCAGTTGTTAAGTCGAGGACCCTCCCCAAAATCCCCTCCCATTCCTTTACGATGCCCCAGAAAAACTCTTTATGGATTAATGACGGGCTTCTCTCGCCGGCCGGAAAGGAGAGGCAAGGCTGGATCAGCCTGATGGGGTGTTGTAGTCCTGCCTGGCTCTTCGTTTCGTCTTAGCTGAAGTTTTCTTCCTTTCCTTCCCAGACCGAAAGGAAGCATGCTGTCCCAAAGGCTGGGATGCCTTTCGGAAAAGCTGCTACTGGGAAAACCGGGAGCCGAAATCGTGGCAGGAGGCCAAAACTGAGTGCGAAAGCTACGACGCTCACCTGGTGATCATCAGCTCCTACGAGGAGCAGGTAGGCCGAGGCGTTCCTAACCTGTGTGGTGTGTTTTTGAAGGAGTTGGATTGGACCAACGAGTGCCAGGCGTGGCCCCTTTAAGCCCCGTGGACTTCAACTCCCAGAATTCCTCTGTCAACATTGCCTTAAAGGGGGGTGGGGCAAGTTTCCTGGCTGAGGAATTCTGGGAATTGAAGTTCACAAGTCTTAAAGGGCCAAATTTCCGGGCTGAGGGATTCTGGGAATTGAAGTTCACAAGTCTTAAAGGGCCAAATTTCCTGGCTGAGGAATTCTGGGAATTTAAGTTCACAAGCCTTAAAGGGCCAGGTTTCCTGGCTGAGGAATTCTGGGAATTGAAGTTCACAAGTCCTAAAAGGGGCCAAGTTTCCTGACTGAGGAATTCTGGGAATTGAAGTTCACAAGTCTTAAAGGGCCAAGTTTGCTGGCTGAGGAATTCTGGGAATTGAAGTTCACAAGTCCTAAAAGGGGCCAAGTTTCCTGGCTGAGGAATTTTGGGAATTGAAGTTCACAAGTCTTAAAGGGCCAAGTTTCCTGGCTGAGGAATTCTGGGAATTGAAGTTCACAAGTCCTAAAAGGGGCCAAGTTTCCTGGCTGAGGAATTCTGGGAATTGAAGTTCACAAGTCTTAAAGGGCCAAGTTTGCTTGCTGAGGACTGCAACTCCCAGAATTCCCCAGCCAGTCAAAGTTTACCAATATCAGCATGAATAAATATGGCTGGAATATTTTTTGCATTTTTTTAATTGGGTATCCTTAATAGTCAGTGGGAATGCAGTTGATGTAAAAAGCAAAATGAGATTTTAAAAAAATCACCTATGAGAAACTAAATTAATAAAGAGGTTAAATATGGGCTAATGGCCTGACAATGAATTAAGCAGGAAACTGATATGTTGGCCAGGGAATTCTGGGAGTTGAAGTCCACCCCACTTAAAGTTGCTGAAATAGATACTAGCTCGATTCCCATGATTTGCTCCGAAACTATGTGGTCGGGCTTAGTATTTTGGGAGGAAAATAAGGGGGGGGGATTCTGCCTCTGCCTACCAGCATCCATGGATATTCATCTGGCTAGGGTCCTGTCAGTGTGGGAGAGAGAGGAGGGCTATTTGGAAACGGAAACAGTATTTGCTGTGTGAGCAAAGAGGAGACAGCAAGGAGCCTGGGCGTGGCTTAGCTCAACTGTTCTGTCGTAAAGCTGCTTGGTTCTGTGAAACTGAGAGGGAAACTCCTCTGCTTGTGTTTTGCCTTTGGAAAAGATTTCTTTTTGTGTGGGGAGGGGGAGTCAGATTCCTTAGCATCAGATAACAACAACAACAACAACAACAACAACAACTGGAACTTGTGTCACAACCACAGTCTACCTGTAGCAAAGAACTGGTGGGATCATCACAAGCCTGAAAAAGTGGTCGAAAATGAGCATGCAAAACTACTGTGGTATTTCCGAATACAGACTGACAAAGTTCTGGAACACAATACCCCAGATATCACGATTGTGGAGAAGAAAAAAGCGTGGATTGTCGACATTGCCACACCTGGTGATAGCAGAATCGACGAAAAACAACTTGCAAAAGTCACCAGATATCAGGACTTGAGAATCGAACTGCGGAGACTCCGGCATAAACCAGTGCAGGTGGTTCCAGTGGTACTGGGCACACTGGGTGCTGCTGTGCCTAAAGACCTAGGCCAGCTCTTAAAAACAATTGACGCTGACCAGATCACCCTTGGTCAGCTGCAGGAGGCCACCTTACTGGGATCTGCTCGCATGATCCGCCGATACATCACGCAGTCCAAAACGCCTGGGAAGGGTTCGACTAGTGATTTGTGATACGAAACCATATATGATGAACTTGATTTTTGGGTGTGTGCTGTTTAGGTGTGTTAGGAAATTGTTTAGGTTTTCTTTTCCATGGGGCCAAATCACGTGGAACAAGAAGATCTGCTTGTAAGTTTCGACGTGGTTTCACTATGCACTCAAGTCCCAATAAAAGAAACTCTTGAAATCATCAAAAATAAATACCAACCAGCTAAACACCTCGTGGAACTAACTGAACACTGCTTAACCAACACATATTTCATATACAAAGGACAAAGATACAAACAAATTGAAGGAGCCCCCATGGGATCACCACTGTCACCTGTCATTGCAAACCTGTTCATGGAAGAATTTGAATCCAGAGCCCGGGCTAATGCCACCCACAAACCCAAACTATGGTTAAGATACATCGATGACACATTTGTGATTTGGCCCCATGGAAAAGAAAACCTAAACAATTTCCTAACACACCTAAACAGCACACACCCCAAAATCAAGTTCACTATGGAAACGGAAACAAACAAACAACTACCATTCCTAGATGTACTAATCACAAAAAAACAGATGGCACACTAGGACACACCATATACCAGAAGAAAACACCCACCAACCGCTACCTCAACGCCCAATCCCACCACCACCCAGCACAGATAAACTCCGTGGCCAAAACACTAATTGCCAGAACCAAACGCCTGGCAGACAAGACACACATAAAGACTGAACTAGGCACCCTGACTAAAGGACTGACAGCCAACGGCTTCCACACAAGCAAAATCACAGGCCTGATCCACAAAAACACACTGAGACATAATGGAGACCTAGAACATGAACAGACCTATGGAACAGCTGTCCTGCCCTGCATAAGAGGTACTACAGACAAAATCAGGAAGATACTACACAGGCATCGCATCAAGACTGCCTTCAAAACAGACAGAAAAATATCAGCTATCCTAAGATAAAATTGACCTGGAAAACCAAGGCATATATGAAGTCCCCTGTGCATCGTGCCCGGCCACATACATTGGACAGACCAATAGAAGAATAAGTACCCGCCTGGATGAACACAAAAATGCAGTAAAAAAGCTGGAACACACGTCCTCACTAGTCCAACACATGAAAGCCACAGGTCATAGCATCGACTTCAATGGCACCAAAACCCTAGCCACGATAGAAAACCCCAGCCACAGAATCATCAGAGAAGCCATAGAGATTGAAAAAAGACCAAAAAGCATGAATAGAAGAGAGGACTCCACTAGACTGTCAATTATCTGGAAGCCTGCACTCTCAAATAAAAAAATCTCCACACCACAAGCCAGGCAAACACCTGGGCACAAACAGATTCCCCCCTGATACCTCCAGCTCAAACACACCCCAATCAGGCACCCAGGTGAAACCTAGCTTCCTAATAAATGATAGCCGTCCGTTTACTCGGAGCCAAGCTGCACTAAAAGCCTCCAATACAGGAACACAATGTTGCCAGCCAATCAAGACACAAAAAAGGCACATAACAGACAGAAGGTATTAGAAACACCAATCAAGCAGAACACAGCAAACTCCAAGACCAACAAACTCAGACCAAGACTCCCAACCAATCAGGATGAAGAAAAAACCATTCTGGCACAGCAGTAGGCTAGCCCCAGATTTAAAACTGAAATGGCTGTGAAAGTCTTGACTCACAGACGAACCCAATACAGAAGCCTGATGATGGCAGATGAGATTCTGCTGAAACGTTGCTACAACTTTAAAAGCACAACTATAATGACGTGGGAAAATACCCGAACAAAGCTGAATACCACATATATATATATATATTCAAATACATATAAGTATTGATGAATATATGAACAGCATGGCATCTCAGTATCATTAGCTTTGATACCAAATACCGTGTTTTCCCAAAAATAAGACCGGGCTTTACATTACTTGTTGCTCCAAAAGACGCATTAGGGCTTATTTTCCAGTTAGTTCTTATTTTTGGGGAAACATGGCACTAAATGTGTCCATCTGACCAACAATCTTAACTGGGGTTTATTTTTGGGGTAGGGCTTATATTACACGCATCCTGAAAAATCCTGCTTGGGCTTACTTTCCGGTTAGGTCTTATTTGGGGGAAAGACAGAACTAAATGTGGCCGGGTGGCTGACAACTGGGGTTTATTTTCGGGTAGAGCTTGTATCACGCACGTCCTGAAAAATGATGGGGCTTATATTCCGGTTGGGCCTTATTTTGGGGAAAACAGAGTAGTAATAATAATTGTCAATAGTATCGACAATTTTAGTAATCTTAAGTTACATTCATCAGAACTCCGATCATTATAACGATGTTATGCATAATTCACTCATCTTTCAACTTCTTTCCTCTACATATGAATTCTGGAATATTATATAGAAATATGCATAATAATATTTCCCCCCCCCTTTTCTAATTTCTACCTCTGTTCTGAACCTGAGTAGCACAAATCTTATATTCCATTTCTATCCATCATCTCTTCTTGTCTGTTTCAATATTCCAATTCTTGTTGGTTTTTTGGCATGCTTTCCATAGTTCTTCCTTGGGATTTTGTATAGGTTACATTAATCAGGCTCGTACCGTTATAGTAACATTATAGATATTACAATTAAAGTGGTTAACACCTATCCCCCCCCCACCTATTTCCCTTCCAAAGTGACCGTGAAATAAGGAGGCGCGGAAAAGGTATTTGCTGGGCCAAACAAAGGACACTCTCCCAGGTTCGGACTGACACTTCTGCGGCTGTCTGGTATCACCAGCCTCTCGGCCCCTCTGAATGGGGCCAGGAAGCAAAAAGGGCGCAGGGGCTGAGTTCCAGCTGTTCTTGGCTTTATTTAGCAAGACGGACAAGCGTTGGCAGGGACCCTTGGAGATCTTCTAATCCAACCCCCTGCCCCAGCAAGAAATCCTAGGCCATTTCAGACAAACGGCTGTCTAATCTCTTCTTCAAAGCCTCCAGGGTGTTTTTTTTTTACCTTCTCATTTCAGTTCAAATTTTTTCTCCTCTAATTTGAGATCTAGTCAGGGAGAAAAATGGGGAAAGCCACCCCCCAAAATTTGGCATGACAGAGGCCCGAAAGCCCATTCGTTACCCAACAATCATTGATAATTGATTAATGATTGATTGCTTTGTAAGAAGAGAGACAGGGAGATGGAGAGAGAGAGAGGGAGAAAGTGAAAGAGAGGGAGAGAAAGAGAGTGAGAGAGAGTGAGAGAAAGAAAGTGAAAAAGAGAGGGAGAGAAAGAGAGACAGAAAGAGAAAGAAAAAGAAAAAGACAGAGAGAAAGAGAGTGAAAGAGAGAAAGAGAGAGACAGAGTGACAGAAAAAGTGTGAGAGAGAGACAGAGAGACAGAAAGAGAAAGAGAGACAAAGAGAGACAAAGAGAGAGTGAAAGAGTGAAAGAGAGAGAGAGAGAGATAGACAGAGTGACAGAAAGAGAGACAAAGAGTGTGAGAGAAAGAGGGACAGAAAGAGAAAGAGAAAGAAAGAGAGAGACGGAGAGAAAGACAGAGTGAAAGAGAGAAAGAGAGAGAGAAACAAAGTGACAGAAAGGGAGACAAAGTGTGTGAGAGACAGAGAGACAGAAAGAGAAAGAGAGACAAAGAAAGAGACAAAGAGAGAGTGAAAGAGTGAAAGAGAGAGAGAGACATAGACAGAGTGACAGAAAGAGAGACAAAGAGTGTGAGAGAAAGAGGGACAGAAAGAGAAAGAGAGGGAGAGAAAGAGAGAGTGAAAGAGAGAGAGAAACAAAGTGACAGAAAGAGAGACAGAGAGTGTGAGAGACAGAGAGACAGAAAGAGAGACAGAGAGAATGAAAGATACACACAGAGAGAGGGAGAAGGAGAGGGAGAGAGAGAGAGACATAGACAGAGTGACAGAAAGAGAGACAAAGAGTGTGAGAGAAAGAGGGACAGAAAGAGAAAGAAAGAGAGAGAGGGAGAGAAAGAGAAAGAAAGAGAGAGAGGGAGAGAAAGAGAGAGTGAAAGAGAGAAAGAGAGAGAGAAACAAAGTGACAGAAAGAGAGACAAAGAGTGTGAGTGACAGGGAGAGTGACAGAGAGACAAAAAAAGAGAGAGTGAAAGATACAGAGAGAGAGAGAGGGAGAAGGAGAGTGAAAGAGAGAGAGAGAGAAGGAGAAAGAGATTCCAAGAGAGATGAAATCTGATGAACTTGTGATTCAAAGAACACCACATAACAGAGAATAAGCAGACAGGGATTGATGGCACCCAGTTCATGACAAATATCAAGCTTAACAGGCAGGATTCGTGTACAGGCAGTCCTCGACTTACGACAGTTCATTTAGTGACCGTTCAAAGTTACAACGGCCCTGGAAGAAAGCGACTTGGGGCCATTTTTCACCCTTACGACCGTTGCAACATCCCCATGTTCACGTGGTCAGAATTCACATGCTTGGCAACCGGCTCCTATTTATGACGGTCGCAGCATTCCGCGGCCATATAGTCTCTTTCTGAGACCAGCGAAGTCAATTCACTGAACGACGATGTGACTAAACTGAAGAACTGGCCAGAGAGGTCGCAAAATGGGGGCCAAAGGCGATGCCTTGCTTAGCAACACGCTCAACGGCGGTCGTAAGTCGAGGACTACCTGTCTTGGCTTAACCCAGTTCCGTACCAGGTAAAAAAAAATCATTTTTTTGTTTACTTTCTAGGTGCAAACAGAGACCTAAAACTTTGAGTCTTGGTAGTTTCAACTCTCAGAGGGGAAAAAAATGGAGAAATGTGGTCCAGATACTCGACTTAAAAAACTGTTCATTTAGCGACCGTTCCAAGTTACGACGGCGCTGAAAAAAAAAGTGACTTCGGGCCATTTTTTCATACTTTGGTCCCAGGACCAACATTCAGCCGCTTGGCCACTGGTTCGTATTTATGACGGCTGCAGCGTGCCCCCTTTGCGACCTTCAGCAAGATAACATTTTGGACTCCGTTGTGGTCGTAACTCCAGGACTACCCGTGTACTTGCAAACTGAGGGTGCCACCAATCTGGCCTGCTAGAGACACGCTTGTCCTCCGCTGAATTCCCCATTGTGGGGAGGGGGGGTGAATTTTAACTTTTAACTATTACTAGCTCGATCCCCGTGCTTCGCTACGAAACTATGTGGTAGGGCTTAGTTTTGGGGGAGAAAAATAAGTGGGTGGGGGGAATTCTGCCTCTGCCTACCAGCATCCATCAGTATTCATCGGATGGGCGCTAGGTCAGTGTGGGAGAGAGTGGAGGGCTGTTTGGAACCTGAAACAGTATTTGCTGGGTGAGCAAGGAGGAGACAGCAAGGAGCCTGGGCGTGGTTTAGCTCAACTGTTCTGGACTGAAGCTGCTTGGTGATGTGAAAGTGAAAGTGAAACTCCTCTGCTTGTGTTTTGCATTTGGAAGAGATTTCTTTTCAGGTCAGGAGGGGGAGTAGAACTCCTTAGCACCAGAGTGTGATAACAACAACAACAATAATAATAATAATTCTGCCCTCACTCTAAGCATTTAGAAATACTCTAAATGCTCTGATGGTCATTTTGAAAAATCCTTTGTTAGTGAGCCCCTAGAAGCCAAGAGGAACAGACGTGCCAAATTTCATGTTTGTAGGCTTTATGGATCTGGAGATTTTGTAATGATGTGTGAGTCATTTTTCACTTTGATAGATAGATAGAGATAGATAGATAGATAGATAGATAGATAGATAGATAGATAGATAGATAGATTCATATATATATAGATAGATAGATAGTAGATAGATTCATAGATAGATAGATAGTAGATAGATAGATAGATAGATAGATTCATAAATAGATAGATAGTAGATAGATAGATATAGATATAGATATAGATGTGGATGGATGGATGGAGAGAGAGAGAGAGAGAGAGAGGAGATAGATAGGTAGAGATATAGATCTAGATATAGAGAGGTTTAGATAGAGATAGAGATAGATAGATAGATAGATAGAGAGAGAGAGAAAGAGATAAAGATCTATCTATCTATCTATCTCTATCTATCTATCTATCTATCTATATAGATAGAAATCCATATAGATAGAAATAAATAAATCTATCTATCTATCTATCTATCTATCTATCTATCTATCTATCTATCTATCTATTTCTATCTCTATCTATTTCACTACCCAGGTTTTTGGCCAGATACTGTTTATTATATTCATTGTTCTATGCTGGGAGGGACATTTCCTCACCGGTAGACCAAGGTTTTCGGGTGCTGAGGCGCCTCAATTTTCCTCTTTCTTTCTTTCCTTCCTTTTTGGCAGCAATTCGTGCAAGTCCGTGCCAGGCCAAACTTTATGTGGATCGGACTGACGGACAGCAGCGGCAGCTGGAAGTGGGTGGACGGCTCGTCCTACACGGTGGTCTCACGGTAGGTTCAACTGGAGGGGTTTACCCCGTACCCAGAATTCCCCTCTGACTCTCCATCGATGGTCACTCAACGCTGAGGGGAACCCTCAAAGCCATCTACACAGACCCCTCCTGCGTGTTTAGCACAGCAGGGGAATTCTGGGAAGGCATCTCAAATCTGTTGAATGCTTGTTCTACACAGCCGGTCCTCAGCTTAGGACGGATTGCTCGATGGCCATTCAAAGTGAGGGCAGAATTTCTTTTTAACTCCTACTACTGGTACCTGTCCTCACAGTTACTTCTGCCGAGTTTCCACACACACACGCACACACCCCTCACTCCCAGGGCATGGGGTCTCATTTTGTGCGTGCTGCTTTGTGTATATGACAGGGTCCTGCAGTCACGTGACTGCCACTGGCGACTATTTGGGAAAAATTAGGCTGGAGCCCCCTAATGGGCAGGGGTTTGGACTAGATGACCTACAAGGTCCCTTCCAACTCCGATTACCAGTTATCTGCCAACTTAACAACTTGTGCTGACTTGTTTTAAGACCACTGTCAAAACAAGTATCGGACCAGGTTGCAGGGTAGTGCCTCGGGTTACGACCGCAATGACTTCTGAGGAACATTCCAAACAACCAGCAGGTCGTAATTCGAGGACTTGATTTACTTATGGCCCAAAAGTTTCCTTGTTAAGCGAGACAGTTGTGGAGTGAGTTTGGTCCTCATTTTATGGCCTTCCTTGCCTCGGTCGTTAAGGGACTCCTTGTCAGAAGGTCGCCTTGTCAGAACGTTTGCGGCGAAGACCTTTACCGGGCGTGAGCTCCGAGGAAAAAATCCTGCGACCTTCATAAACGTGAATCGGTCTGAGTTTTGATCACGCGGCCCTGTGGAAGTTGCGACCCTCGTTTCTTGTCCCAGGTAAATCTTGTCCGGGAGTTCCTGGGACAAGCGGTTCAACACTACAAAGGCTCCCATACAAAGTTCATTTCATCGGATTATATTAGGCATCCTCCAGGTATAACTCACAGTTACGTTGAGATTCATCTAATGTCCAATCTCTGCACTGTCACCTCCCTAGCGTGAGAAAGATGGTTCTCTCCATCCCATAATGTTATGGCAAAGGAACACTCCAGCATGATGCTGGGCTCCAGGTAAGAAGGCTCCCAAAATTCCCCCAGCCCAACCAGAGGTCAGTTCAGTGACCCATCAGGATTGGAGATGTGACCATGTGACATGAACTACAACATCGCCCAAGAGGCATTAACGACATTTCCCATGGAATATTCCCTTAAGGGGACAGCTCTCGTTCCCAAATTAACTATATACGGTCTAACCAGCACAGGTCGTAAGTCTGGGAAACGGTCATAAGTCCCTTTTTTCAGTGATGTCGTGACTTTGAATGATCACTAAATGAACTGTTGTAAGTCAAGGACTACCTTTATTTTGTTTTGTTTTACTTTATTCTATTTTACTTTATTTTATTTTACTTTATTTCATTTTACTTTATTTCAGCATCATATATTTTATTTTATTTCAGTATTTTATTTCATTTTAGTTTAGTTTTTTAGTTTACTTTACTATTTTATATTTCATTTTATTTTTAATATTTTTTATTTTACTATTTTATACTGCATTTTAGTTTAGTTTAGTTTTTTATTTTAGTAGTTTATATTTCATTTCATTTTATTTTACTATTTTTATTTCATTTTATTTTACTATTTTATTTTATATTATTTTACTATTAATCTTGCATTTTATTTAACTTTACTATTTTATATTGCATTTGATTTA